TGAAACATATTTGTGATAGTTTTTCCCCTTCGACTGCCATTTAAATGGGCACCCAGCCACTCAGCAGGCAGTCAATGTTTCATGCGATAATTAGCCAAGCCAACTGCTTGTAGTTGCGTCTTACTTAGCCTGGTTAATGCTTTATTTATTTCTTATTAAGCTTGTCAGAAGAATATACAAGTATATGCTCAGTGTGCATAGGGGACATTTTGTTTGAGTGCTCTCTTGTCTGTAGCCGCAATTTGTGTTTTGCCAAGGCTCAAAAATAAACCTAAAATTTAATTTTATGGCGAGCAAAAACATCAAAAAATACAAAAAGGACACGTCCCAGCTTATCGCTTTGTGAGCTCTTAAACAGAGTTTTCTGCGAAATTTAGGTTTAAGCCTTTGCTGACCCTTTGGCTAATGTTTGATACCCATATCAAATTTAATGCTGACTGCATGCGCATCTTTCTGTTGAGCACATTAATTCATTAGGTCCATTTCGAGTGTGACCATTCCATATATGTAAATAGCCACACTTGCTGCCACTCCCCCTCCCCAGTCGTGCTCCTGCGCCTTTTGAAATGTGACACTTTCGAAAATGCGATTAATTTGAATTTCATTGAATTCTGTGGTACAGCACCCGTCCCGAACTCCTCCTGCGAACACCTTTTTCACGACTCACTTTATAACATATTTAACATAATTAAACGAAAAGGCCTGCGGACATCAAGGACTTCACAGCTCATATTTTAATTGAGTTATATATATGTACATATATATGGTTTGTATTTTTTTCCCCTGAATGCCGACGAACAATAGGTACAAATTGAAGCGAAATGTGTTAATTAAATGCACCGAGCATATTTAATTAGCGGCTGCCACTCAACGGCAGCTGCCACTTGCTTCTGTTGCAAATTTCAAACTGCATTTTCCATGGCAGTGAAATGTTTCATTTAACTAGTTTGCCTTGCGTTTGACAAGCTTTCAGTGATGCTCAATCAGCTCTACGGAAACCTTAGACTTTAGCAGCACTCATGTTGCTTCCGAGCTTATATGTATTCTTGCATTTGTATTTAAATTTCTATTACCAAATACCAAAACAACAGTGAACAATTGTGCATTTTTCTATATATATATATTCTTTGTGTCGAAATAAATTCGTATGAAATTGTATTAAATGTATAAAGTAGGAATATGGGCTATGTATAAAATTTTATTTGAAAAAAAAAGTATTTTATTAAATGAATTATTATAATATATCCTTTAGAATGATCTATATGTCTTAATTTGAGACATTTAAAAAGAAAACATTAATTACATTATTAGCTCGCTAAAATGTATAGAATTATGTATTATATATAAATTTGTATGCACATTTTTTTTAAATATATTGTTGCACTTCCAGGTTCTTTTGTGATTTTTGATTACCTAATATAAATTTTGTATTTTTATCGACACAAAATTTTCATAGATTCTCAATATATCTTATGAATTATTATTATTTTTAATTTTAACTCAAATTTGTTCATTAAATCTTGTTTAATATTTTATAATTAAATACCTATTGTTACTCACATTTCAAGGTGACCATACATATTCTTTCGTGCCGCCTCAAAGTATGCAACAAGTCTTGTGTACTTTATTCATCCATCGCATTTCGGCTATTATTTTTGCAAGTCATTTAATTCATCTACTCAGCCAATTAGCACGAACAGGATAATCAGCCATGGAAAACTCATTAGCAATAATACGAGTACAACTCAGAGAGGTAAACACGAAAAGTGAGCAGTGAAGAAGGGGGCAGTGGGTCACTGGGGCGGAAGTGTCTAACCAAATTGAGTCACAGTTAATAGGCTTTTGCTGTGTCAACCGTTCATTGTTTGCATTACTCATTTACACTCAGCAAACAACATTTTAATTTTGCTTCGAACCACAGACATAGCTTGTTCTACTGAATTGCAACTGAAGCGATTAATTTAAGTATATTGAAAGGCAAGGTAGAGAATTAAAGGTGATTTCGGTCCGACAGATCGTATACTCAGAGACTCCGACAGCAAAAGCACTGCAATACCATTTTCTTGGACTTCGAGCCGAACTTCTATCAATAAACAGCTGCTCTTTAACTACTTCGCTCTGATACGATCCTATTTGTAGGGCCTTTTTTTCAATGTAAAAGAAGTATGGGTTGCCACAAAGTCAAAGCACTGCAGAGCAAGTTTATGCGCCGTAATTCATGCGAGCATCGGGATCTCAACATGGATCAAATTCCTTTGCACTCGTCTAAAACTAGCGATAAAATAAAGAAGTAAGGTTGCTGAAGAAGCATACCGTGCTTCCTACTAACATTTTCACATATAACAAGTAAGAAAGCTCTAGTCGAAACTACTCGACTACGAGATCCCCTGAACCCTTGGAGTAATAGCTATTTCAATAATTTTTCGCGTCTTTCAGCTTACACAAGAAACACACACACACAYACACACACACACACACACACACACACACACACACACACACACACACACACATACACAAACATTTACATACACATACACACACAAGCATAAACACGCATGGGCGGCAGTGAGCGCTTACTATGAGAACTTAATTGCTTAATAACTTTTTTTGTGGACGTACGATCTTCATGAAACTTTCAGATTATGATTATAACATGGATATGCATGTAATTGCCAAAGCACAAGTCTCTAGTATTTGAAATACGCTTTTTACAAAAGTGAGGGTGAGGGGGTGAATTTAAGGGTGGGGGGTAAATTTTAACAAAAACCGAAATTGTATAAATTGCATATAAGCATACATTAAAAATTTGGAGTCTCTAGCTCTTATATCTTCTGAAATCGACGCGTTCATACATACGGGCAGACGGACAGACAGACGGACAGGGCCAAATCAACTCAGCTCGTCGCCCTGATCAAGAATATATACTTTGTGGGGTCTGCCACGCCTCCTTCTGCCTGTTACATACATTTCAACAAAACCATTATACCCTGATTTCTCATTGAAAATGGGTTCAGGGTATAAAAAGTTAAGATAGGGCTATATCCACTATTCAAGAACACTTAGAGGCCTCCGCCCTGGAGAGGTGTACTTACAGCAGATTAACAATAGTGCGAACAAGTGTAATCGACTTAGATAGGGGTTAGGCACGGGCCCAGAGCTGTAATACTATTTCCACTGATAAGGTAGAGCTCTCGTGCCTTATATGGTGCTTGCGTCAATTCCAAAAATTTTTGTTATTCACGCTGCCAAAGATATTTAATCACAACAAACGCGCACTTAAGTATGTGCAGTTTGCATATATTCTAATCACGCTGAAGTACTTGAGAAGGTTTATTTTCGGCTCCCAGTGTACCCCAGCAGAGCCAGGTTGAATTATTGTCCGGCATGAAATGTCAATTAAAAGATCAATTAAAGACCTTAAGCATTTTGGACAATGCCTATCAGAAGATAATTTTTTTGAATGAAGTCTGATTATACCGCTGTCCAAGCGATAAGTTCTTCGGCCTGGCCTATAAAAGACCATAGCTGGCCGAAACTCCTTATCAGTCGAAAGAACTCACAAACAATATGAAGACTATTTGGCTCTTGACTTTCTGTGCACTGGCCGGTAACTTTAATTAATACATGTAGTTCGCTCAGCTCCCCACAATATGCTTACAATTCCCATACAGCTTCGGTCTGCGCTATTCCTGAGTCCGAGCGTGAGAATGGAGAGAATGGCTGGTATATACCCAGACCAGATGGCAGCTTCTTTTGGATGGACAAGGATGACGCAGAGCTTCGGCTTCAACAACTAGAGATGCAAGAGACGCGCGCACTGACCACAACTCCCGTCAAATTCTACCTGTTCACCAAGTCGAACCCCACCAAGGGTACCAAGATCACAGCCACCAGCAAGTCCATTACGAAATCCAACTTCAATGCCAATAACCCCACCAGGTTAATATTATCTAAAAAGCCTGGAGCTGTCTAATAGAAATACCTAATCAAGTGATCTCTCGTCCATTAACTATTTCCAGAGTTATCATCCACGGCTGGACCCAGAGCAGCTCATCGGGCATGAACAAGAACATTCGTGACGCCTGGCTGAGCAATGGTGACTACAACGTCATCGTCGTGGACTGGGCTCGTGCACGTTCCGTCGAATACGCTTCCTCCGTTGTGGCTGTACCCACCGTGGGCAAGAAGGTCGCCAACATGATCAACTACCTTGTCTCCGACCACGGATTGAGACTCGACACTCTGTACGTCATTGGACATAGTCTGGGTGCCCATGTCGCTGGCTATACTGGCAAGAACACCAACGGCCAGGTGCACACCATCATCGGTCTAGACCCCGCTCTGCCCCTGTTCAGCTACAACAAGCCCAACAAACGTCTCAACTCTGACGATGCCTTCTACGTAGAGTCCATTCAGACCAACGGCGGCAAGCTAGGCTTCCTCAAGCCCATTGGCAAGGGCGCCTTCTACCCCAATGGTGGCAAATCCCAGCCGGGTTGCGTCATGGATGTGACTGGTGCCTGCTCCCACGGACGTTCTGTGACCTACTATGCTGAGGCTGTCTCTCAGAACAACTTTGGCACCATGAAGTGCGGTGACTACGAGGCAGCCGTTAACAAGGAGTGCGGTAGTACCTACAGCAGCGTTCGCATGGGTGCTGATAGCAATGCCTACATGGTATCGGGTGACTTCTATGTTCCCGTGAACAGCAAGGCTCCCTATGGCAATATCAACTAAAATTGTCACGCAAAATTTTCGAAAATAATCAAATTTCGTTTTGGTTAAGAAAGTATTTTCTGACATACTAGCATTCATAGTAATCTTCAGTATATAAATACATACATACGGCTATCTACCTATTCAATTTGACATACATATTAACTTTTCGTCGTAATTTTATTAGATGCTATGTATCCAGGTCTAGTCTAATTATCACGAGTGTGAAAAACTGTTTATATAAATAATATTGGTCTCAATTCCTTATAAGTCGTGTACTACTATCCCAAAGATGAAGTTTATTTGGCTCTTAGCTTTGTGTGCTGCAATAGGCAAATGTGAGTGATACAAATCAGAAAATCCATGAGATCTACTTCAAGCAGTCATCAGCTAGTACATACGCGGAGGATTTGTCCGAGAAAGTGAATGTGGAGAACAGCTGGTATATGCTCCGTAACCTAGCGGAGATTGCTAGCCTATTGAAAGCTCCACGTCTACAATCAGCTGAAAAATATATACGCTTATATTTCATTAAGTTAGTACTCGATGATAACATTTAAGGATGGTTTTAGCAACGGGAAGGCTACTTACTGCAGATTAACAGTAGTGTTACACTGACAAGGAACAAAGAACTCTCGAGCCCAATAGATTTTTATTCATAGCTGAGACACACTTCAGTATGAGCAGATTTCATACATTTATGCTAATCATCTTATAGTATTGAGTGTGTTTACTTTAGGCTCCCAGTGTATCCCAGCAGAGGCAGGTTGAATTATTTTCCGGACAATGCCTATCAGGTCACCCTTTGTATTGTGATAACTTCTTCGGTCTGTCCTATAAGAGACCATTGCTTGACGAACCTCCTTATTATTCGAAAAAGATCTGAGGACTTTCGTATAATTTTAAATATTACATGTGATTTCTTCAGCTCCTTAACGACCAAATTTAAATCCCATACAGCTGCGGTCTGCCAAATTCCTATCTCTGAACGTGTGAATGGAGTGAATGGCTGGTACATACCCAGAATAGATGGTACCTTCTATTGGATGGACATGGATGACGCGGAATTGATGCTTAAAGAGATAGGAGAGTCATTGGAGAACGATGAAAGCTATGTCGACAAGGTCTAGGGTGAACAGCAAATCCCCACGGCCATATAAACTAAAATTGTGACGCAATTAAAGAATATAATAAAAACAAGTTAGAAGGCTCCAGTCGAGACTGTTCGACTAGCAGATACCCTAGACCCTCTAAACTGATATTCTGCTCATTCTGCACTTTTTTTATGCACACATGCATCCACACGCACGTATATTCACGCGCTCTGCTGACTGCGCAGCTAGCAGCGACTGTGCTTGGGCTGCGCTGCACTGTGGGCAAAATTTGGAAAGTTTATTTGTTGAATAATTTATCTTGTAGATCTTTATGAAACTTTTAGAGGGTCATCATGTAGCTATATTGTGTGTACATTCCAAAGCAGAAGTCTCTATTACTGGAATTAAGTTGTTTATAAATTGTTGGTGAAAGGGGCGTGGTATGCAAAATCTTTGTATAAATTAACTTTATATACAACGCAAATTTGAAGTCTCCAGGTCAAAAACTGGTCAAATTAGGCTGAAAAAACAAGGTCGATTTTCGATTATTCTCGATAAAAATGTTATCTGATTAGTTATCGAAAAAATAAGATAAACTTGTTTGCCTATACTCGATACTCGAGTATGCATGCCAAATTTCAGCTCTCTTGCTCTTATATCTTCTGAGATCGRCTTGCTCATACAGATGGACGGACGGACAGGGCTATATCGACTCAGCTCATCGCCCTGATCAAGAATATATATACTTT